CAAGCCCTGATACGCCTTAAACTTCGTGCGTTGTAGGCCCAACAGTAAATGCAGGCAACCAAACATGTCACTAGTGCTTCCCCTCCCGCAATAACGGCACGCCATGAGGGGGGGAGGGGGGCAATAGTACCCATGTGTATTTTTTCAGAGTTTTGTTGAACTTTTAAACTTTGTTTTTATGTTATTTTCTTCATTCAATGATCGAGCTCAACTAGCAATTTCCGTATAGGACAGCGCACGAGGAAGGCCCCCGGAAAAGTAGGAGCTAGGGAGGCGACGAGAGTTCCCTGCGCGCCGCCGGTGCCGCCGCCGATTCCCTCTCTCTCCGGCGGCGGGAGGGAGGGGGAACCTCGGGTCTGTTCGCTAGGTGGTTGTGTGGTAGGGTTAGGGTTGAGGGAGACACTGCCGAGGCCGTTGCGGTGGTGTCGCGTCGGAATAAGTTTCTCCGGGCTCCGTTCGCGGTCAGGCGAGGTTTTTGCCTTCGTCTAGGAGCCAGCGGGGTTGGGGATCCCCGGATCTCGTCGAGGTCGCAGGCTATGGTGGATGGAGGTCCATCGGCACTGGTCGTTTGGGTCCTCAGATGGGCGATGGATGCAGGGAGACAAAGACCCTTCTTCTTCCTTGTTGGTATGATTTGCTGTTGTTGTTCTTTTCCTTCCTCTGCGCTGATGCTGGTGGGAGATCCTGCTTTGCCTGGGCGGATGGCCCAACCGCGGTGCTGGACCGGTCGGATGACTCGAGTTCTCTTCCTTCCGGAAGGGACACTTTTTGCGGTACTCAAAGCCAAAGATGACGACGGCTGTTGCAGGTGTGTTGGATTGATGTCCATACCCTCTCAGCGCTGGTGTCAAGAAAGAAGGAAGCAGCGTGGCGGCAATTGTACCAAGGTCGAAGATGATGACCTGCTTGCGACTGGTTGCAGATCCTTCTGCTGCAGGGTCTTCTCTCAAGATTCAAGGATGCTGACACAGGGCTTTAGAGATCTTCTTGTGTTTTGCTTGTCTTAGGGTACTCTAGGTGTTTATGGTCCTTTGTGTTTGCGTTTCAGTGTGCTTGTAAGGGTCAACTATTTTATACTGATTCGTGATTTGAATGATAAAATTCTAAAAAAAACTAGCAATTTCCGTGAACTTTATCCTTATTTAGACTCCGTGCGAGTACGTGCATTTTTGTGACGTGCGTGTTTGCACCGATCGGCACCTGTACGGCGAGGTGACGAACGACCTGAGAGGGACCCAATCCGGGAGGTTGACACGACTCCAGAATCCAAATCCGTCGGGCGACGGCTAACCCAACGAGGCGGCCACTCCGGTCCACGCGGTAGCCCGCCACCCTGCTGGCGCGGCCGCGCGCACCCGATGCGACGCGATTGGTCGGTTTCGCCCACCGCGTACCGCCAGGACGGCGACCTGATCACCTCGTCATCCCACCCGTGTCCCCCTCTCGTTAAAAAGGAACCCTCTCTCGCCGCGCACGTACACACTGCCTGCTTGGCCCGCACACGCATGCGAGGAGGGAGAAAAAAAATATACTGGTGAGCAGCGCGCCGGCCGCTCTCCGGCGTCGTCCTGAGCCGACGGATACGAGGAGAGCCGGAGGAGATCGAGCCGCCGAGCCCCTGTCTGTCTCCATCCCCTGGCCCACTCCCTCCGGTGGAAGATCAAGATCCCCGCGCGCCTCACGGGCGGCACGTGACTGACTGCTCCCCTGCCGCCCGCACCACTTGGCTGCCGGCGCCGGCACAAAGCGGGCAGCGCGACGCGACCGTTGCTTGATCGATCGAGGCGAGGCCATGGAGCAGGAGGAGGGGAGGAGGAAGCGGGAGGCGGCGGTGGTGGTGGTGCTGGAGTGCGTGGCGGGGAGCTCCAAGGCGGAGGAGTGGGGCGGCGGCGGGGCCGTGGTGCAGGAGGGCGACGTGGTGGAGTCGGTCCGGGTCGGGCTGGGCTCCGGCGCGGCGTCGCTGGACGCGCCCTTCAAGGGCGGCCGCGCGGGGCTCCACAAGGCGCTGCACAAGGCGTTCAAGCGCGGCGACACCTCCGTGGAGGTGCGCGTCCGCGGCGGCAAGGACCTGCAGGCCTGCATCCTGCCGCACCCCGGCGGCGCCAGCGCCCGGAAGCAGTACGTGCTCCGCTCCCTCCACGACCCCAACTACGTGCTCGGCTTCGGCGATCGCCTCGAGAGCGAGTGCCTCGTCCTCCAAGGTAACCACCAATCCAATCAATCAACCACACAGCCGGCTCATCCTAGCCCCCAAGAGCCACCCCTGAATTTTCATTCCCATCCGTTCTTCTTCCAGCTGAATCATGGGCTGAAATCGCGTGATTTGACAGTGATATCTGCTGCTGAATTATGTGTGAACTGGATAATTTTGCTGTCAATTCTCGATGTGAAACGTGGATATCTCAGCATGAACGCTAGTAAAAAAAAACATAGAGGAGTATCAGCCAGATAGATTCGATATGGGCTGGCTTTCATTTCAGCACGCACGCACGCGTTGCCTGTGTGTTCTGCTCTACGTCAGTTGCGAAAAGACAAGCTTGCTGTCAAGTCTGAGGTTCAGACTAGATGGAGGAATATTCTGATTGGCTGATCTTTCAGCAGCATTGTTGGAAAGCAATTTTCCTTCATTTCATATTCACATCCATTCTTCCACAATGTTATGAATTATGATATAAAACCAATGTGCATGTAGTTGTCACTAACTAGAAGCTATGATAGCTACATAAACAGAAAACAAAGGAAGCAAATTGGAATGAGAAGATAGTAAAGTAGGGAGAACGGGAAGACGTTGCTGAAACGTGTCAAGGAAATTGACCATCTGTGTGTGCAGGTGGTGGTCAATTCCTCCCATAGTAGTACGTCCCTACCTCGTGCGTTTCACTCGTTTTCTTGTCTCCGCCGGGGAATGAATGTGTCATGGTCGACTGTTTGAGTGTTGACGACGTGGTGGTCCTTGCAAACCGCCATGGTTTGTGGCTTCCTGGCAAGTTAATCGTGGTCCTTGTGCTGTTGGTATGGCCTGACCATGCATGACTTAGCATCCATCTAGAAGTTCCTCGTAAACAATTTTTTTTTACCTACGGCTCGATGTTTACTAGAAATATAAGAGTGTTTAGATCACTAAAAGAGGGAGTAATTGCTACTGTTCGTGCAATTTCTAGCTCAAACCACATGTGTTCTCTTATGTTTTGAAGAATCCTTTGGCAGTGCTTCTGGTTACTTGATTGATGCTTCCCTTCGCAAATGATGTATATTTTTGCACACAGTATATAAGCAATGCTTTATTGTGGTGACCTTGATATGTAAAAATACTTCGTCTTCTCCCTTGACAAAAGGCACAAGAGGCACAAGAGTCGCATCGGCGCTGAGCCGGGCGCAGCTTCAGGACGGGTACGTCACGTACCCCTGGGACAAGAAGATGCGCGACTCGCTGCGCACGCCCAACTCCAGTTGCTTCCTCTCGATGCTCGTCCTCCCCAAGGCCCTGGACCTCAACGCGTGCCGGTACGAGTCCTTCGAGGACACGTTGGCCCGCGCCAACACATGGCTCTACTCCTCGCAGGACTCAGGGATCCCCATCGAGTTCATGAATCTGCAGAGTGAAGCTCTTCTCACCAAGGTGCATACGTCTTGACTTCAGAAATTTCGTACTACTAAAACAAACTTCCAACATTCAGTTGGTTTGCACCTGACAATAACCAGTCAAGGTTCAGTTTGATCGGATAGTGATTTCATCCTCACACACTCAAATGTTCAGATATCTGGGGAGACGGCGTCTGCGACTGTCAACTCCGGGTCGTTGTCCGACATGTCGAACCTCGTGAACGCGACGCTCTACGGTTTCGAGGATTACCACGGGGTGGACATCGGCGTGGTGAAGGCGGCCCGGCTCTGGTACAGCTCTACGGCGGGAGAAATGCCGCTGGAGATCCAGCTTCAAGAAGGTGACACCAGGCTAGGATTCGCCGTCAGCCGCACAGAAGAGGTTCATTTTCAGTTGCCACTGTACACAATACAGAAAACCGGTCACTACTCCAGCTTTCAGAAATGTCCATCTAACCCACCGTGGAACTTTTGTTTTCTTTCATCCAGGGTTTCATCTACATATCATCGGTGGTCGACGACGACGAGGACAGCGAGGCGCCGTCGACGCGGTCCGGGCTCCGCGATCTGTTCAACAGGGCGAAAGTGGCGTCGAAACTGCTGATCATTTCAAGGGTGTCCAATGAGAAGGTCCTCCCCTGGATGATCTCCAGCTCAGGCGCGGTCCGTTGCTTCGACACCATCTCCCTCAGCCAGAAGCTCTCCCTGCACCGCCTGGCGCTGCAGCCCATCCAGCTACACCTGCTCATGTGGGAGAAGCCCGTCGGTGTCGCGCAGAGTGTCGTTCTTTCTCCGAAAATGCCCTTCCCACTGTCACTGCCTCCTCAGGTACCCCTAAGCATCATTGAGAGCCCTGAACATAGAGTAGATGCTGAGGAAGAGTTTGTGTTGGATTCGTCGTTTCGGCTCGATGATTCTCCGGTCAGCAACTGGGTGTGATCTCAGCTTTCCTCTTCCGATAAAGGGTGGATTTTATTGACTCAAAATGAAGCATCAAGTGGATACAAACACAATGAGGATCTCAGCTTTCCTGATGTGCACATGTAATGTCTTCATCTTCTCTAGTTCTCTAGGCAAGGCTTCTCAGTTTCTCCTAGAGAAGTAGTGTTCAGAACAATATGTAGGTTTCTGAAGTAATCAGGGGAGATGCTTCCATAGCATCTGAGCATCATGTTGTGATACATACATAGTTTTTGTTCATCATGGCATAAACAATGGAGGAATATATATTACTCATTTCCTTGTACTCGTGTGCTCAATTGCCTACTCTGAATTTACTGACAAACATATGATGGATCAGCATTCTGACATTCAAGTTACCCTCACATCACACTAGCTAGCCATACAATGAACATGTTAAACAAAGTTACACATAATGAACATGAGAGACAGTTATGCTACTGGTCTAGCTGCTGCTTTGTTGTGAGGACCTTGCACTTGAGCACTCGATCTTGGACATAGAACCCCGGCATCACCATGATCTTCACCCTCAACGGATCATCCTGGGGCTGCCGCCTGTCCGGCAGGATGTCCTCCATGTACGCCTGGTCGAACGCCCGGCCCTCGTCGACCCGCAGGATGGGCAGCGGCGGCGCGAAGGAGAAGGCGAGCAGGTGGAGCAGCCAGACGCACTTGGTGGCGACGAAGAAGCACTGGAGCAGCTGCTCCGGCCATGGCCACGACCAGCTCAGCGCGGTCACCACGCAGCTCATCTTCTGGTCGCAGAACCGGCTGAGGTCCTCGCTGTAGTACCTGGTGCCCTTCCGCAGCACCTCGCTCCAGCTCAGGTTGCGCAGCGCCACGAAGGACGCGAAGCTCTCCCGCCGGCCCTGCCCGGGGTCCAGGTGCCTCGCCGCGCCGTTCCGCTGGAAGCTGGGGTTCTCGAAGTCCTGGTACAGCGTCTGGTTCATCACCGCCTCCAGGTGGTACAGCACCGCCTTGGAGCAGTGCCGGCCGGCGATGGCTAGCTGGTGCGGCCGGAGCAGCAGGTTCAGCTTGTCTGACAGCCCGTTGTCCGGCTCCTCCACCTGCTGGATCAGCGCCTTGCAGAGCTGCTTCACGGAGAGGCGCGCCTCGGAGGCGATCTGCAGGAAGCCTTCCACCATGGCCTCGTGGCTCACCGGCATGCCATTTCCGGGCAGCTCTCGGCTCGCCCCGATCGACCTCGACGACGACCGCCGCGAGTGGGACTGCGTGTCGGTGCCGCCGTTGTGGTCCGTCGCTTGCCGCAGGGCCTTCTTGAGCTCCGAGCAGTAGGCTTCCAGGCTCATCATCTTGGTAGTCAGCTCGCCCAGCGACGACCTCATCTCGGCCGCGTCCTCCTGCGCGGCGTCCCGGTGCGCGTTGGCCTCGGCGAGCTCCTTCCTGAGCGAGTCCAGCGAGAGCAGCCCCCACTCCTTGAGGAGCTGCGACATGTTCCCGCGCTCGATGACGGCGGTGGTCGGCGGCTGCGTCTCCGGCTTTGCCTTCTTCTTCGCCTTGGTGAAGAGCCATGAGAGGATCTGTGACCCTCTCTGCTTTGCCCGGGAGTGCGCCGACGGCGGGGGCTGGTGGCTGGACGAGAATGGCACTCGGCTGCTGCTGCCGAAGAACCCCAGAGCTTCCGCGTCGTTCAGACCGTGGTCCCTGCCGATCGTCGCGGGCCGGAACGCGCCACCACAGGACGGCGGCATCTTGAACTCTCCCGCGCAGGTCGCCCTCCCGGCCGACGCCGGGAAACGCCCGGCCAGCGGCGCGGACTGCAGAAAGGCCGGATGGATCCTGTTGACGCCTCTGCTCCGGAGGTGATTCTCGCTGGACGAAGGGGCGTAGTGGAAGTCGCTGTTGCAGGAGGAGAAGCCGTTGAGGCAGTTGTCGTAGTCCGAGTAGGCCGCCTCGTCGTCGCCGACGCCGCCGCGGTCCAAGGTGATGCCGCTCCAGTTCTCGGACCGGCTCCGGTTGTCATGGCAGATGTCGTTGAGTCCAGCGGCCATCGCCATGGGCTCCTCCTCGTAAGTCTGCACCATGTTCAGTTGAGCAAGCAATTCAGAAATGCAATCCTTCTCACAGGGTGAACTAGGATCGTACAGGTCCGTCCGCAATGATGCGAACGTGATTTACAGATTCGGTGAGCAGGCACCGTGGATCCTACCAAGTTGGCAAGCATCACCGGCGATCATAGCCTCGTGGCGTGGGCACCGATGGCAACCATGAGAGACTCAGACTCTGAATTTAACATTACTGCACCAACTGTTGCTAGCGTACTGCCCAGTGCCCGGCCACCGCCGCTGCGTCGAGCAATAAACGCGGCGGCTGCAGGAGCTCGCACACGGCAAGAACAGTGGGGCAGCTCAAGAACTAAATGAGCCGCCTCTACCATGGTACCATGCCACCAACGCCGCTTAAACCGGGAAGAGAAGCCAAGAACGCAGAAACCAACACGGTGACATGTGGTACATGCTTGCGGCGCTCACCGGGGTAAACACGGGGTAGTCCTCGTCTGCGGCGGCGGTGGCCGCTGTCCGGGAGCGCGCAGGGGACGCGGCCGGCGGGAGGCGGATGGTGGCCGGGCTGCGGCTGGCGCTGGCGCGGGCACCGGCATTGGGCGCGGCGCGCTGGCGGAGGGCGGCGTGGAGCGCGCGCAGCTCGACGGCCTTGGCGACGGCGGCCTGGACCTCCTGCCGGGTGGCCGGGAGCGGGACCCTGGACGGCGCCGCATGGTCGAAGCCCTCGGCGGCCGCCATGGCCATGGCACCACACCACTGTGAGACGGATGAACAGTGACGGGTCAAAGGCTGCGCCCTCGGCCGGCCGCTCCAAGGCTGTGCTGATGCAGTGATGCTGCTGGACGGGCGCTGCGGTGCTGGGCTGGAAGTGGTCTTCTTGGGATTCGCGGGCAGGCACGGGTGGGGAGGAGGAGAAGGAATGGAATGGAGCGGAG